ATCACTGGTGGCTGGGTTGGTGGAACCTATTGAGTGAAGAGAAGAAGAGCAGAAGAGAATCGTGACAAAAAGATAGCAGAAGAGAAAAAGAGAAGAACATAACAGAAGAGAAGAACGAGAGGAAGAAGAAAAGGAAAAGGGGAAAGAAGAAAAAGACAAAAAGTAAAGAAGAAAAAGACACGGAAAGAAGAAACAAAAGGGGAAGAAGAAAAGAAAAGAAAAATATTTTGCAAAATTACAAAATTAACCTCCTTAACGGGTGGTAACGGGTTAACCCGTTTTCGACCCGAAACGACCCGTTAGCTTAACGGGTGGCTAACGGGTTCACCCGTTTTCAACCCGACCCAATAAGCTCAACCCAAATACTGATAATTTCGTGCGAATTCGTGTCGTGTTAACGGGTCGTGTGCAATATTGCCAGGTCTAGTCTTGGCTCTGTCTTGGGCCTGTTTCCCTGTTACTTGGATCTGTTACTCTATTTTTCTGTTTCAGTGTTTCAGCTTTTGTTCATGTTTGGGATCGTGATATGTTTTTCCGTAACAACTGTCCTTCCTTCTCTTATTATTATTTTCTATGTTTTTTGAAAATTCAATTTCTATGTCCCTAATTTGATTTAGGGTTAAAATGTTTGGGTATTTAATTGTAAATTATCTGTGAAAATCAATATTTTTTTGTATATATTTTCGGTATTTAATTATATAATTATCTGTAAATTATGACTGTCAAATTCCCTTGAAGTTCCATTTTTTGATCAAATTAGGCACTTTTCAGTTCAGTTGTTGGTTTTTTACTGCGAACCTACACTGAGTTTTGCCCGTGCTTCCCATTCTGGTGAGGTATAAGCTAGAGGTTGCAAATGCAGAGCTCGAGGAAGCCAAGCGCAGCAAGGAAACTACTGAGCAAGATCTTAAAGGATACGAAGTTGATGTTCTTAATTTGCTTAGGCTTTAATCGAATCTTCAATGCAGTCAAGGATTTCTCTGACTCAAGACGAGATTTCCACAGTCGGATCGGATTTGGATGCTCTTAAGGTATTTTTACTTTCTGTTTCTAGTAATTTAATTAAATATTTGTCTACTGATCCTCATTTTATGTTATTTTTGCTTGGACCTTGGAAAAAACCAAAAAGGGGCTTCACGGTACGAAATTTTCATCTCAATCGTTTGTTAATTATTTTCCATTGCTTGCCTTTTAATTATTTGCCATAATTTTCTACGCAGAGATGAGTTTATTAGCCAAATGGTTGAGATCAACACTCAGATAAGGTTAGCCTCATTTGAAAAGCAAAAGAGTACATGTAACAAGTTCTCAGAGCATTTTGGCATAAATGGTGTATTTGTATGCGTGAAAATAGATTGGGGTATTTTCGTAAGTACGGGTACGAAGAATCAAATATTGTAATCGAAATTAGAAGAATCAAATGTTACAGTTGTTAGTCTATATGCAGAGAAGAAGGTTGTAGAGAATATTTGGTCATTGGATAATTTCTCTTCTCTAAACCTCTTTTATTTTTCTTTTGATTTACTGTATCCTATGTAATGCAAATTCTTACGTTTTCAGTCCCAAAATAGAAGTTTTTCTTTAATTATTTATATTTAGCTGAATTTGTTGTGTTGCTATTTTCATTGAATATAGGTATTGTAAATTCTTGATATCTCTTCATTCTTGAACTTACACCATGAACTAAGAGCTGTGTAAAGATTTGGATGTGGTTGAAAGTTCATGGGAGAGTTAGTACTTGTGAAAAGGATCCTGTTCTTGTTTAGGGATCCATCGGTGAGATTAAGAATATTGAATGTATTTTTCAGCCCCAAGGATCCTATACTTGTTTGAAACCACTTCATTTCACTAATATTGCTTGGTCATATAAGTTTTGAATCCAATGACATAACTTTAATTATTTATATTTAGTTGATTTTTTATTTATGGGTTCATCGTTCTTGTTTGTTTTATTATAATTTGGCTGGATGCTGAATTTGTTGTGTTGCAATTTTCATTGAATAGGATATTTGTAACACTGAAATGACAACTAATATCGCTCTGATGTGTCAATATAACATGCCTTTTTAGGACGCAAACCTCTCAAAGCTTTTAGGGTTTCCAAATCAGGCATCACCCCTTGTTCGATCATTTCCTCAACGAGCCTCGAAGCTTCACCTATCCTTTTAGCTTGCATATAGCCGTTGACCAAGGCTTTATAGCAAGAAGCAATATCAGGGACATTATCTTTTATCACAATTAAATCAATGACCTTCTTTGCCTTATCTATTTGGCCACGAAAACAATAATCATCAATTAGCATACTGCAAGTTATTTTGCTCAGCTCCATACCATATTTAACTTTGGCCTCAACTACTTCATGAGCCTCTTCTGGCATCCCTCCATGGAAGAGAGCATCCAAAAGTGTTAACAAAGTTATGATATTAGGTAAGACTCCCTGAACTACCATTTCATCAAACAACCTTGTGGCTTCAGCCCATTGATCCGTACGGCACATGCCATAAATTAGAGAGCTGTAAGTGACAACGTTAAGCTTCATACCTCTTTGGGACATTAGCTCCAACACAGAGAGCGCTTCCTCGGTCCGTCTCTCCTTGCAAAGAGCATGTATTACAGTGGTAAAGGTTACAACATTTGGTGCGATTCCTTCATCCAGCATTCTATTAAACAACCTTGTGGCTTCTTTCCACTGCGCGGAATGGCAGAGGCTATTAATTAAGGAGTTGTAGGTGACGACATTAGGCTTTACACCTCTACGGAACATTTCTTCCACAAGGTTAAGTGCCTCTGCTGTCTTCCCTTCCTTGCACAAAGCATCCAACACAGAACTGAATGTAACAATATCAGGGAAGGCTCCACAATCAATCATGTTTCTAAATAGCAGCACAGCTTCTTCCCACTTACCAGACTTGCATGAAGCACCAATTAAGGAAGTAAAAGTGAAAACATCAGGCTTTATGCCTTTGTTTTTCATTATTTCAAACAGAGCAAGTGCTCGTGTCCAAAGACCCATGTTGCATAATCCATAAATTAATGAAGTGTAACTGACGATATCCGGCGCAACACTTTTGTTGATCATATCTCGAAATAGGGTCAGCGCCTCATCTATTCTTCTTTCTTTGCATAAGCGGTCAATGATTGGATTATAGCATTGAGGATCAGGCTTAAACCTTCCATCTTCATACATTTGCTCGAGTATCTCAAGCGCCATACATGTTTTCCCAGCTCTGCACAACCCATTAATTATAGTAGCGTAAATGATTTCATCGCATGCTAATCCTTTCTCTTCTATTTTCTGGAACAACTCCATTGCCTCAACGAGCGACCTATACTTGCAAACCCCATGAAGCAAAGCATTCAAAGTATAAGCATCGGGCTGAAGACCATGTTTAAGGATAGTTGCTAAAACAGAGAAACCCAAGTCCACCCGATTCATACGGCACAAGCAATTGATAACAACATTCAGTGTATCGACTTCCGGGTGTAAGCCAACACAAGCCAGCATCTGTTTATACATAGAAACTACAGTGAAACACTGATTCATCTTGGAGAGTGCCCCAAACAAATGATTAATAGCCGAAATCGAGGGAATGGGTTTCATTTGAATTACGGAATCGAAGTGACCCAGTGCTTCATCTAACCCAAGATTACCAGATTTACAACGCGTTTTTACCAAATCCTCCAAATCAATGTTTTCCTTAACACTAACAGTATGACAACGATTGACAGCAAAAGAGCAAAACTGGCTTCTGAAAAAGACGAGCCCAAACACAGAATAGAGAGAAGAAGTATTACCCTTTTGGAGAAGCGTGAGCCCTAGAGCTCTTTTCGCCATAATTTTCGTCATCATCGACCAGCTCCTAAGGCTAGAGCAAGCAATTCACGATTTTTTTCGGTCGAAAGGAATGGGCACCCCTTTTTGCGAACCCTTTTTGCGGCTCCATCTCAGCCATCAAAGTGATCTCAACGGCTGGTTGAAAAAGAGGGCTTACAATAGAAATGGGCACCCCTTTTCTAATCCCGCCTTTTTCCATCCAATCGCGCCTATTTTTTTCAGACTCCCTCTTTTTCCTCTCAAACAAATTCTCCTTTCTCTCTCACCTGTTTATTCTCTGTGTTAGTGGCAATTAGGTTAGGGTTGATAACCGTTACTGTTCACGTTTTTCCCATCTCCTTCACCTCCTCCACGCACATAGTACCCAAACACCGACATCGCCTCCCTCAAACATCTATGAATCCCAAGAAAATCTTCAAGTTTTTAGAATTCTAACCTTCAAATATATTTCTTAGAATCCTAATTTTAATTTTTAATTATTTTTATTGTTTGTGTTCATTCTCTCTCACGACTGCCTTCCTTGCCCGCCAGTGTAGGAGGTCGAGTGAGGGGCCTGTCTTGGGCCTGTTTCCCTGTTACTTGGATCTGTTACTCTATTTTGCTGTTTCAGTGTTTCAGCTTTTGTTGATGTTTGGGATCGTGATATGTTTTTCCGTAGACTAGTTTTGGCCTCGACGGCTCTCTGTCTCGCTGGTGGTTCGCTCGGTCTCGCGCTCTCTCTCCATGAGCCTCCCTTCATCCATGGATCCATAGGTAACAACTGTCCTTCCCTCTCTTATTATTATTTTCTATGTTTTTTGAAAATTCAATTTCTATGCCCCTAATTTGATTTAGGGTTAAAATGTTTGTGTATTTAATTGTAAATTATCTGTGAAAATCATTATTTTTTTGTATATATATTCGGTATTTAATTATATAATTATCTGTAAATTATGACTGTCAAATTCCCTTGAAGTTCCATTTTTTGATCAAATTAGGCACTTTTCAGTTCAGTTGTTGGTTTTTTACTGCGAACCTACACTGAGTTTTGCCCGTGCTTTCCATTCTGGTGAGGTATATGCTAGAGGTTGCAAATGCAGAGCTCGAGGAAGCCAAGCTCAGCAAGGAAACTACTGAGCAAGATCTTAAAGGATACGAAGTTGCTCCTCTGAGTAGAGAAGGTTTTGATAATCTATCAAATTAAGCTTAATCTGAGTGTAAATGGGACTGAGAGTTCATGTGTGTTTTGATTGTAGGGCTGCGTTAGTACTCAAGAGGTTTTCACGCTATCCAACTCCGATTTAGTTCCTGGGAAATATGAAGATGTATAGAGTTCTTCCTATCTTTTGTTTGCTTTGTTAATAGTGATTCAATAATTAAAAATGACACTAGATTGAGTTTTTAATATTCTGCATTACAAATGTTTATCTTATTTATGAAATGCTGTTGCACCAAATGGTGATAGTATGGTTTTTAAATTATCTGTGAAAATCAATATTTTTTTGTATATATATTCGGTATTTAATTGTATAATGATCTGTAAATTATGACTGTCAAATTCCCTTGAAGTTCCATTTTTTGATCAAATTAGGCACTTTTCAGTTCAGTTGTTGGTTTTTTACTGCGAACCTACACTGAGTTTTGCCCGTGCTTTCCATTCTGGTGAGGTATATGCTAGAGGTTGCAAATGCAGAGCTCGGGGAAGTCAAGCGCAGCAAGGAAACTACTGAGCAAGATCTTAAAGGATACGAAGTTGCTCCTCTGAGTAGAGAAGGTTTTGATAATCTATCAAATTAAGCTTAATCTGAGTGTAAATGGGACTGAGAGTTCATGTGTGTTTTGATTGTAGGGCTGCGTTAGTACTCAAGAGGTTTTCACGCTATCCAACTCCGATTTAGTTCCTGGGAAATATGAAGATGTATAGAGTTCTTCCTATCTTTTGTTTGCTTTGTTAATAGTGATTCAATAATTAAAAATGACACTAGATTGAGTTTTTAATATTCTGCATTACAAATGTTTATCTTATTTATGAAATGCTGTTGCACCAAATGGTGATAGTATGGTTTTTAAATTATCTGTGAAAATCAATATTTTTTTGTATATATATTCGGTATTTAATTGTATAATGATCTGTAAATTATGACTGTCAAATTCCCTTGAAGTTCCATTTTTTGATCAAATTAGGCACTTTTCAGTTCAGTTGTTGGTTTTTTACTGCGAACCTACACTGAGTTTTGCCCGTGCTTTCCATTCTGGTGAGGTATATGCTAGAGGTTGCAAATGCAGAGCTCGGGGAAGTCAAGCGCAGCAAGGAAACTACTGAGCAAGATCTTAAAGGATACGAAATTGATGTTCTTAATTTTCTTAGGCTTTAATCGAATCTTCAATGCAGTCAAGGATTTCTCTGACTCAAGACGAGATTTCCACAGTCGGATCGGATTTGGATGCTCTTAAGGTATTTTTACTTTCTGTTTCTAGTAATTTAATTAACTATTTGTCTACTGATCCTCATTTTATGTTATTTTTGCTTGGACCTTGGAAAAGAACAAAAAAGGGGCTTCACGGTACGAAATTTTCATCTCAATCGTTTTTTAATTATTTTCAATTGCTTGTCTTTTAATTATTTGCCATAATTTTCTACGCAGAGATGAGTTTATTAGCCAAATGGTTGAGATCAACACTCAGATAAGGTTAGCCTCATTTGAAAAGCAAAAGAGTACATGTAACAAGTTCTCAGAGCATTTTGGCATACATGGTGTATTTGTATGCCCATTTATAGACAAATTTAACATGATTCGTTTAGTGCCTTCCTGCAGTTACTAAGTTATTATCATACTTGTTAAAAACATTTGAATGCAGAAAGTTCCAAGAGTCAGTTACTAGAAAAATTCATGAGGTCTTGTACAATGGAAGTACATAAGGTGATGGCTTGTGTACGCTTACAATGGAAGTATTGATCTCTGAACATGTGCTGTTCCATCTTATTCTATTTGCATTTGTCGAATCTTCTAGTCATAATTAACTTCTACATCTCTCTTTAAGTCTTCAAAATTGATCTTTCTCAAAAGAGGAGCAAAATGATCACATAATGTAGTTTGGGTAGAAACTAAAAGAACATTGCAATTTTGTTTCAGAAGAAGATCCCAAACTAGTGAAGGAGGAGGTTACTGAAGGTGCTTTAGGAACACTTGAGGATATGCTTGCTGGTATAATATCTCAGACAACCGAAGTGGAAGAAGAATGCAAATCAGAACAGAATATTCAAAAGCAGGTAGGAAATCGGTCATTGAAACATTACCAATGGCTAACATTACAATTTTATAAAAGCATAGTTTTAGTGTTCATGTTAGTATTTCCCAGGAAGGCAAAATGAAAATGACTGAATTATCAGGAACTTCTGCTTCTGCAGGTCCAGCAGTCGCTGATTGATTGTGAAAGGAAGGTATTCTTGATGGAGGAGATGTTACAAGCAACAAAAGCATTGCAAGACTTGACAAGATATCCTTTCCAAGATTGCGTTGGTTACTGAACTTAATCAATGGTTAAGCACATTATATATTATTCCTCTGGACCATGTAGAAAATTAGAATGCAAAGAAAATTGCCCATCTCATGTAGAAAATTAGAATGCAATGTGCTAATATTTTATTCTATCACCCGAAATGATGCACCAGGGATGCCCTAGTGCATTCGTTATGACACTTTTATGAAACTTGTTTAGTGCATTCGTTATGACACTTTTATGGAACTTGTTTTGGCAGCGTGATACTTGTAGAATGGGTATAAACGATTCACTTCCCCCAATTATTACTTTAAATTCCCAAACTCAAATTTAGACCTTCACACTTCATAGTTGAAGATAATATTGCAGGGTTGCTGTAATTGCCTTGATTGCTATGGTTGCTGTGATTGTTGAAAAAATATGTTGCGTACTATTTGGGACAATATATGTGGTTACCATGAACTCTTTGTCTAATATCCTTCATCTTTTAAGCTTTAAAATATAATTTTGACATATACAAAATTCAAATAATTTTCAAAAATTGAAGTTTGTTCATATATTAACAATAATACTAAGTTGAAAATCATTACTCTCATTTACAACAACTATTCCTTCAATTATTATTTCAAATTTCCTGAAGTCAATTTTGTTTTCACATGCGATAGTTGAAGATAATGTCGCAATGATTTTTTAGAACTTTTTGTTGCATTTTTCGGATTTTTTTTTATTTTTTATTTTAATTGTGAATTTTTGAAGTTTAAGATACAAAAATAACATCTGATAACACGTTGTGCTATGTGATACTGACAATCGTCGGAAACTCTGATGACACACCAATCTAACGCTGTCATGTGTTAGTCTCTTCCAATTATTAGTATTTTTCATATTTTAAATTCTAAAAATCATAATAAATTCATCCAAATTCACCAAAAAAAATCCCACCAACTCCTTGTCACATATCATTCGAAGATAAATGTCGTAAGGGATTTTTAGAAATTTTCTGTGCATTTTTTTGATTTTTTTAATTCATTTTTACGTTTAAGATATAAAAATAAACCTGTGTTGACACGTGTTGGAAACTCGAATGACACACCAATCTGGCACTTCCATGTGTCATTCTCTTCAATATATAAGAATTTTTCAATGCTTTAACTTCAAAAAATCATAATAAATTCCTACAAAATCGAAAAAATTCATCAAAAAATCCCACGAAATATACTTATAAATTGAAGAGAATGACACATGGCAATGCCAGATTGGTGTGTCATTAGAGTTTCCGACACGTGTCAATAGCGCATGGCGACACGTGTCAACAGAGGTTCATTTTTGTATCTTAAACGTAAAAGTTTTAAAAAAAAAAATCAGAAAAATGCACCAAAAATTTCTAAAAACTCATGCGACATTATCTTTGACTATAATGTGTGAAAACAAAATTTTGACTTTGGAAAATTTGAATAAATAATTGGAGAAGACTTGTTGTAAGTAGGGATGGCAGAAATCCCCGTCGGGTACCAGGCCCTAACGGGGGGGAATTTTCGGGGCCAAATCGGGTACGGGTACGGGGGAGACCCGAAAAAAAAATCCCTGACGGGTTCGGGCCGAGTATGGTAAATGTGTCCCCATCCCCGAACCCATGACCTCCTTCTTTAAAACTCAAGAGCTTACCAATACTCCACGAAGGGTCCTTGTGTTATAAAGAAACAATTAATTAATTTAATGGTCATGATTCCAGTTCCAGCTAACAAACATGGATTTTAAAAACAAAATTCATATGCAAACATGTATAATAATCAATAAATTCAAACAATCCAAATATAATGGAAAAAATCAAACACCATAACAAATATTGATTTTAAAAAATAAAATTCGTATGCAAACATGTATAATCAACAAATTCAAACAATTCAAAGATAACAAAAATAATCAAACACCACAACAAATATTGATTTTATAAAAAAAAACAAAATTTATATGCAAACATGTATAATCAATAAATCCAAAGATAACGAAATAATCAAACATCATAACTAACATTAATTTTAAAAAATAAAAATCCAAATGCAAACAGTATAATCAACAAATTCAAATAATCCAAAAATAGCGAAAATAGTCAAATACCAAACATCACCTTTATATTAGACAACTACTACATATACTATTGCAACAACTGGATGATTAATGTAGATTGGTAATCAAACACTAAATAATCAAACACCAAGTCATACATAGATTAGAACTCTTCATCAATTAGATGACTAATGTAGATTGACAATCACATACCACTCTATGAGTATATGACGAAGGTAGACAAAAAACACAAATTACTCTCATAATCAAGGTATCCATATCCATACATGGAGGGAAGAAGAAGAACCATATCCATGTACAATTTTGGTGTTAAGATGAGAAAGAAAAAGAAGAAAAATAATGAGACTTTAACAAGATTCACACAAATTATATGTCATTAATTCAAAAAATTGGAAAAAGTATATTTATATTTTAAAAAAAATTGGAGATATGGGTTGTGTGTTTTGAACCCCTGACTTCTCAATTACAAGCCCACATGCTATCAATCAATGCACAAACAAACGTTGTGTTTTAGTGAAATATTTAAAATATTTAATACTTGCATTCCAGCTACAATAAAAAACACTAACCCTATCCCTAACAAACATCATTATCTTGCGCTTTCTCATTTTACTTTTCTTCCATCGCCGCCTTCTTTCTCATTATCTTGCGCTTTTTGTTCTTTCTTCTTTCTTCTCATTCCTTCCTTCTTCTTTCTTCTCTCTTCTCTCTTCTTTCTTCTTTCTTATTAGAATATTGGCAAATCAATCTGGTTGAGCATCCGTGCCTGGACCTCACTCTGGGGTTCTGTCACAACTGAGTTTAGGGAGATTGGGTTTCAGCTTCTCCACCTAGACTGGAAAGCAGCTGTTTTGTAGGATAGAGGTTTTTTCTTTTTTTGGTGGCCTCCTTCGCCATCTTGTACTGTGTTTGTTCTTTCTTCTTTGAATGATATTGTTTCTTTTCAAAAAAAAAAAAAAAAAAATTCTGGTTGAGTGTTTGATAATACAGGCACTTTGGAAATTTTTTTTTTGAAACTTTCATTTGATATCGATTTTGTTATTAATTTGTTTCTTCTTTAGTGTTTCAGGGGGATTTGTTTTTCTTTTTGGTTCTGATTCAAGGGGCTTCGTTTGTTTCTTGGAGTTCTTGTTTATATTTTTTCCTTAAAAAATCGGGGATTCGGGGCGGGTATGGGGGGTGGTCCCCCGACGGGTACGGGGCGGGGATTCCCTGAACCTTATTAAACGGGGACTGGGGCGAGGACGGGGGAGGGTTTGGGAATCTGGGTCGGGGATGGGATTGGCAAACCCGGACCATACCCGGCCCGTTGCCATCCCTAGTTGTAAGAGAGAGTAGTGATGTTCAACATGGTATTATTGTTAGTATATAAACAAACTTCAATTTTTGACAACTTTTTTTGAATTTTGTACATGTAACTGTTATATTTTAAAGCTTACGAGAGGAAGGAAATGTGATAAGGAGTTTGTGGGATTTTTTGTGAATTTTCAGATTTTGTATGAATTTATTATGATTTTTTTGAAGTTAAAGCATTGAAAAATATTTGTAAATTGAAGAGAATGACACATGGCAGTGCCAGATTGGTGTGTCATTAGAGTTTCCAACACGTGTTAGTAGCGAATGGTGATACGTGTCAACACATATTCATAAAAATGAATAAAACAAATCAAAAAAATGCACAGAAAATTTCTAAAAATTCCTTGCAAAATGTGTGAAAACAAAATTTTGAATTTTGGAAATTTGAAGTAATAATTGGAGAGAGGGATTTTTAGAGAGTAATGATGTTCAACATAGTATTATTGTCAGTATATAAACAAACTTCAATTTCTGACAACTTTTTTTGAATTTTGTATATGTAACTATTATATTTTAAATGTTAAAAGAGGAAGGAAATGTGATAAGGAGTTTGTGGGATTTTTTGGTGAATTTTTCATATTTTGTATGAATTTATTATGATTTTTTGAAGTTAAAGCATTGGAAAACACTAATAAATGGAAGAGAATGACACATGGCAGCACCAGATTGGTATGTCATCAGAGTTTCCGAAAAATGTCAATAGCATATAACGACACGTGTCATCAGAAATTCATTTTTGTATCTTAAACGTAAAAATATCACAAAAAATGAAAAGAAAAAGAATCAGAAAAATGCACCGAAAATTTCACAAAATAATACCACCAACTCCTTGTCACATTTCCTTCATCTTATAGGCTTGAAAATAAAATTATAAAATATAAAAAATTCAAATAATTTCTCAAAGTCAACTTTGTTTCTATACTAACAATAATACTATGTTGAACATCATTACTCTCCCTCCAATTACTACTTCAAATTTCCCAAGGTCAAAATTTTGTTTTCACACATTACAGTCGAGGATAATGTTGCAAGGAGTTTGGAAAAAAATAAAAATAAAAATCAATGTATTTCTGTATTTTTATGAATTTCTTGTGAATTTTTAAGTTTAACAAAAAAAAAATGAAACTCTAATGACACGTGGCAGTAACGACACACCCTTCAAGTGATGTCACTTGTCATTATGTTATGTTTATTACTATTTGTAGTATATGAAGCGATGTTGAAGCTATAGTGAATCCGTTTGGAGCGTGTACAAAACATATTTTGTTGGCAAGCAAATGATGCTAAAGCGTTGCGATTATGACTTGTGTCAATTCTCTATTATTTTATTGCATTTTTGTAAAATTTATAATTTTTTAAAACTATAAAAATATACGAAGGGTTTAAACAAGTTCGTTGCAATGACTCTTCTCTTCGTATTTGAAGTGTCAAGCCAGCCAAAGCTTTAAACAAAAACCTGCACGAATTAAATAAAAACACAAAAAATCAAACGAAGCTAAAGGGTCCCAATTTAACATTCAGAGAAATACTCAACAGAAAATGCAGCAGTACCAACGTTTAAGCAATATTCTGAGGAAAACTCTGTTTTTTTTCTTTCTATATTTGATTATCTTCAAAACAATAAATTTTACTATAATTAGACAAAGTTTTGTCATGTTTTACCTTGAATTCAGTACCAGAGCAATGAACCACAAGCTGTAACAATACAATCCCAACGGGCAGAAGAAAAATCTTCTCCATAATTTGAGACAAACCAAATTCTTTATCTATAAGCAGACCCTATTTTCAATGGGGTTGGAGACAACACATTAAAAACAGAAGTGAAATCACAAAGATTTAGTATTTAGAAATAAGAGCAACAAAAGACCAACTAGGATTCAGATTGCTTACCTCGAATAAGATGGTATTTCCCTGTGCTTGTCTTGCATAAGCTTAGATGATTCAATGGCTGCACAAGCTGTGCGTCTCATCGAGCAAACAGGAATATAAAAAAGTTTATCTCACATTTCTCAACATATTGAAAAGATCTCACACTTGTCAACATAATACTTGATCTAAACAAGTGAAGAAAGCACAATGATACAAGCAGATGACAAAAGTCCCAAAAAAAAAAGACATATACTCAAAGGAAACCAAAATGATATAGTCTTAAGAAGGAAAATAACCTAGTTCACGCTCGGCCATCTGGATATTTGAATTGGTAATATCCATTCTATTCCACTACTCAGCAATCAAAAACATGATTTCCTATTTCTTCAAACACATAAAGGGATTATTAAAGCTTGTGGGGAGTTACGAGGGGCAACAAGCAAGGGTTTAAAAGGCTGGGCGAGTTATTGGGTTCATTATAAAGTTGCCCAGAAGATTAATAGGCCTACCCAAGTGAAGTGATGAAGGACGTACGGAATGAAATGGAAGCTCATATGTAATAACTAGAAGCCTCCACCATATCATCAACATCCCTACCCAACAAGAATAAAGCAATAGGTTTTCAAATGGATAATCAACAGCATTCACTGTACGTAATGCGCAAAAAGACATGGCCTAAACCCTAGCAAGATTGCGAGGAGTCAAAGTAGACAAGGAAGGAAGATGAAGGAAAGCAAAGAGGAAGGAAGAGAATAGCTGCTAGCTAGCTAGGAAACCTTGAGGAAGAGGAAGAGTAAACAAAATATGAGGTTTTGAGATCATCAGATCGTAATGCTAATATGAATGAAAATGCCTAGACTTTGAACGTTAATCAATACAATACCTTTCTCTTTGATATGTTAGCAGTTAAATAACACATAACCGTCGTCACTTCCACTGAGGCCACTTGGTTGTGTCTGTGGATCCTTTCCTAAAATTTGAAAAACCAGAAGTATCTGCAGCATCATGCCATATCATTTCTATCTGGAGGAAACAAACGAGAATAGTAGTTGGACGTTAATTATATTAGAAGAAAAGGAAAGGAAAGATGCTGTGAGTTCATGTGTTTAGGATTCAAAATACAACACAAAGAAAGTAATAACAGAGAAAAACATACATCTCCAACAATCACTGTCACTTTCCTTGACATTCATTATAAATTCTTCATGAGTATTGGACCAACAGAAAGAAAGATGTCAATTATTCGAAAACAGATACAGAAAGAAAGATGTCAATTATTTGAAAACAGATACAATGAGGCATTGGCATTGTAATCAATTTGGAGAACATTCAATGATGTAGGATGTGACTGACTGCAGATTATAGCAGTAATTTGATGATACCAAATGTGTGGGTGAGATAAAAATATCAAATCATTGCAAAACTTCCACAAATATCAAATCAAACCACAACTTAGCGGCAGCATGTACATACCAAATTGTGGCACATCTCATTTCAGCTCATAAATCGTCAAACAACGTGCATATCTGGCAATGTGATACTAATTTACGTGAATGACAACATTGATGTTACAGAAAAGTTTTTTGCTAAGTTGTGTCTAGTGTGCAAGGTCACTAACTAATGAGATTAAGGATCCAGTTAAAGGTTACAACATTTGGTGCAATTCCTTCATCCAGCATTCTATTAAACAACCTTGTGGCTTCTTTCCATTGCGCGGAATGGCAGAGGCTATTAATTAAGGAGTTGTAGGTGACGACATTAGGCTTTACACCTCTACGGAACATTTCTTCCACAAGGTTAAGTGCCTCTGCTGTCTTCCCTTCCTTGCACAAAGCATCCAACACAGAACTGAATGTAACAATATCAGGGGAGGCTCCACAATCAATCATGTTTCTAAATAGCAGCACAGCTTTTTCCCACTTACCAGACTTGCACGCAGCACAAATTAAGGAATTGAAAGTGAAAACATCAGGCTTTATGCCTTTGTTTTTCATTATTTCAAACAGAGCAAGTGCTCGTGTCCAAAGACCCATGTTGCATAATCCATAAATTAATGAATTGTAATTGATGATATCCGGCGCAACACTTTTGTTGATCATATCTCGAAATAGGGTCAGCGCCTCATCTATTCTTCTTTCTTTGCATAATCCATAAATTAATGAATTGTAACAGAAGTTATCTGGTGCAACACTTTTGTTGATCATATCTCGAAATAGGGTCAGCGCCTCGTCTATTCTTCTTTCTTTGCATAAGCGGTCAATGATTGGATTATAGCATTGAGGGTCAGGCTTAAACCTTCCATCTTCATACATTTGCTCGAGTATGTCAAGCGCCATACATGTTTTCCCAGCTCTGCACAACCCATTAATTATAGTAGCATAAGTGATTTCACAAGCATGCTAATCCTTTCTCTTCTATTTTCTGGAACAACTCCATTGCCTCAGAGAGCGACCTGTACTTGCAAATCCCATGAAGCAAAGCATTGGGCTGAAGACCATGTTTAAGGATAGTTGCTAAAACAGAGAAACCCAAGTCCACCCGATTCATACGGCACAAGCAATTGATAACAACATTCAGTGTATCGACTTCCGGGTGTAAGCCAACACAAGCCAGCATCTGTTTATACATAGAAACTACAGTGAAACACTGATTCATCTTGGAGAGTGCCCCAAACAAATGATTAATAGCCGAAATCGAGGGAATGGGTTTCATTTGAATTACGGAATCGAAGTGACCTAGTGCTTCATCTAACCCAAGATTCCCAGATTTACAACGCGTTTTTACCAAATCCTCCAAATCAATGGTTTCCTTAACACTAACAGTATGACAACGATTGACAGCAAAAGAGCAAAACTGGCTTCGGAAAAAGACGAGCCCAAACAGAGAATAGAGAGAAGAAGGATTACCCTTTTGGAGAAGCGTGAGCCCTGGAGCTCTTTTGGCCATAATTTTCGTCATCATCGACCAGCTCCTAAGGCAGAGCAAGCAATTCACGATTTTTTTTGGTCGAAAGGAATGAAATTTCAAAGCCAGCGACTCAAACAAAACAAAACAATACGACGAACAAAACAAAACCATAACCAAACAAAACTCAACCTAAAACCAAAGCCAGCGACTCAGGTGGGAACTCCTTTTTACGAACCCTATTTGCGGCTCCATCTCAGCCATCAAAATGATCTCAACGGCTGGAGAGAAAAAGAGAGCTTACAATAGAAATGGGTACGCTGCACTTTCCTTTCTCTCTCAACTGTTTTTTTTTTTTTTTGGTCTTAGTACTCTCTCAACTGTTTATTCTCTCTGTTAGTGGTATTTTTACTTTCTGTTTCTAGTAATTTAATTAAATATTTGTCTACTGATCCTCATTTTTTGTTATTTTTGCTTGGACCTTGGAAAAGAACAAATTTGATTAAATGAAACTCTAATGACACATGGCAATAACGACACACCCTTCAAGTGATGTCACTTGTCATTATCTTATGTTTATTACTATTTGTAGTAAATGAAGCGATGTTGAAGCTGTGGTGAATCCGTTTGGAGCGTGTAGGCAAACAAATGATGCTAAAGCGTTGCGATTATGACTTGTGTCAATTCTTTATTATTTTATTGCATTTTTGTAAAATTTATAATTTTTTAAAACTACAAAAATATACGAAGGGTTTAAGCAAGGTCGTTGCAATGACTCTTCTCTTCGTATTTAAAGTGTCAAGCCAGCCAAAGCTTTAAACAAGAACCTGCACGAATTAAATGAACATGCAAAAAATCAAACGAAGCTAAAAGGTCACAATTTAACATTCAGAGGAATACTCAATAGAAAATGCAGCAGTACCAACGTTTAAGCAAATATTCTGAGGAAAACTCTCTTTTTTTCTTTCTATATTTGATTATCTTCAAAACAATAAATTTTACTATAATTAGACAAAGTTTTGTCATGTTTTACCTAGAATTCAGTACCAGAGCAATGAATAACCACAAGCTGTAACAATACAATCCCAACGGGCAGAAGAAAAATCTTCTCCATAATTTGAGACAAACCAAATTCTTTATCTATAAACAGACCCTATTTTCAATGGGGTTGGAGACAACACATTAAAAGCAGAAGTGAAATCACAAAGCTTTAGCATTTAGAAATAAGAGCAAAAAAAGACCAACTAGGATTCAGATTGCTTACCTCGAAAAAGATGGTATTTCCCTGTGCTTTGGTTAGAGAAAGTTTTGTATAGCTTTGGTTATATATATACACCTCAAATGTAAATGTAATTAACAAGGTTAGTAAATGAGAAGAGGATTATTCAGTAAAACTATTCTTCTGTTTTCCTTTGGTTTCTTTGGTTTCTTTATGGTATCAATTGCCACTGCCTCACGGCACTCTTCGATCCTAGTCTCTTCTGCTGTGCTCCGATCTCTGGTTTGATCTCTGATCTGTAAGCAATTGACTGTTGCTGTTCTTCAATCTTGATTTTTTTTTTTTGTCTCCTTCATCTTGATCTTTGATGGCGTCACCTCTTGAATCCTCTTCTCCGATTCCGTCAATCCCCACTCAGAATCCTAATTCTTCCTTTTCAAACCTTAATTCGCCCCAAACCTACACTTCTCTTACGATTCAAAACATTGGTAGCTGTTAAAATATCACTTATAATTGAGAATGCAGAGTAATATATTCCGGATCCTCTGCTCTGATTTTCTCTCCCATGATCTGCTATACTTTCACTATAATGCTGCCACATCATTAAAAAACAATCCAAAGGTAGAGAATATAGCACGTGTATTTTAGAAATAAATAACATATATTTTATATATTTTTTGACAAAGTAAAGGCAATAAACAACGTTCTCTCCCCTTCTGTTCATCCTTTTGCCATCCAAGGGTTGAGTTGAGGTGCAGAAACTTTTGGCAAATGACACCAAAGATGGATATATAATGAATTATTGGAATTTGTTAGGAAAATGATGATCAAAAGAAAAACGATTCCTCTGTGAAGCGGCTTTTTGAGAATCCACAATTGTTAATTACGATAGGAACGGCGGCCTTAGGCATTTGGTATTTGTGCTCTAACGGCATGGTTATCATTCTCTCTGCTTATGATCTCTTGATTGGAAATAACATTTGCCCTTCTATTTTCAGTGATTAAATTGATTAGATTGTCCTCGTCAGTAGAGATCAATCTAATAACACATTTTTGAAGAAAAAAAGCTTGTATATATGTCCTAAAAGCTGATGAGAGATGGAGAAGACCAAGAATTATGTCAAATTCGATCAAACGCGGAACTGGTTGTTGTCCAAAAGTTTGAGAAATCAGATAATTAATAAGTGTATGCTCATTGTTTGGTTGATGAGGAACAAAAAGAAGAAGAAAAAAGATTTGTCTTTCAATAGGACAGAACACGAAGAAGAAGAAGAAAAGATGATAGAACACGAAGAAGAAGGAGAAAAAGAGAGAAGAGGATAGAACACAAAGAAGAAGAAGAAAAAAAAAGCTTTGGACGTTAAATATCCCGTTTGTTGGGTATTAGGGTCGTTTTTTTTTCTTTTTTAATTAGGAGTAAATTGGCTTTTTGTTTTAGGATGATGTGTCAACATTTAAATCCCTTAGATTAAATTTTAATGAGGTGGCGTATGGAGAAAAAAAGTAAAGCAGATCATAGCAGAGAAAATCAGAGCAGAGGATCTGAATCCAATATATTGAATGAAAGTGGCTTTTAAATAGCCTTACAGAACAGAAAGCAAAAGAACACGATCCCATGACTAACAGTCCCTGATATCAAGGGATCCTCCTAAAGAAAAGTTCAAACCTTATCTACTTCCTTAAAACAAAGTTTATTTCAACTAAAACTAAACAACTTTAACAAATAGTAAATAATAACTTTTCATTCTCCCTTAAATTGAAAAGCAATTAAGCTTTCAATTTAAAGACAAACTTGAGCAGATCCCCAGCAATTTCCGCATCTTTACGAATGCCTCCAACTTTAATGGCTTGATTAGGATATCAGCAACCTGCATATTGCTTGGACAGTGCTCTAACTCAATTACTTCATTTTTGACAAGATCTCGAAGGAAATGGAATCTGACATCAATGTGCTTGCTCCTCCCATGCATTACTGGATTTCTGGACAGCTTAATAGCAGAGCTATTGTCACAGAAAATCACAGTAGGCTTATCTTGTTGAAAGCACAGTTCTACGAGCAACCTTCTTAGCCAAACAGCTTGACTTGCACTTGAAGTTGCGGCTATGAATTCAGCTTTTGTTGTAGAGAGAGTAACAACTGGCTGTTTTTTCGATGACCAAGAGATAGCTGCTAAACTTAGCATGAATACATATCCGGATGTACTTTTCCTATCATCAAGATCACCTGCATAGTCACTGTCGCTGAATCCCATTAACTCACCCCCAGCTTCCTTCTTGTTTCTAGTTTCCTTCTTGTAGAATAGACCAAGGTCTGTTGTTCCTTTCAAATAGCGAAGCACTCTCTTAGCTGTCTGATAATGAAGTTCAGTAGGTGAGTCCATGTACGTGCTAATAAGGCTCACAACAAACATCAGATCAGGTCTGGTAGCAGTTAAGTACATTAGGCTTCCCACTATCTGCTTGAAGTGAATGCTATCGACTCTTTCTCCTCCCGCATCCT